TGCTATCTTGTTTCTCTTTAGTTTTCCCTTGCCGTCGTGGCTTTTGAACTACCTTCCACTGTTCTTGCACATAACCAGATTGCAAACTCCCCTGTTCCACATTTAACTTCTCTGGTACAAAGTGATTCATTTCTGCGTGCTTTGTATCTTTCCTCTTCAGGGGACAATTTTCAATCTTATGTCCATATATTCCACACCCACCGCAAAGGAGATGCAATGCCTCATTCGAGATAGTGTTCCTCTCCATCCAAAACAAATCCAGCCATCAACTGTTTGCCTAATTCCACCAAGACGCAGACCATAGCAAAACTCCCTCGGAGTTGATGAGAGGTACTCATATCAATTTTTTCAAGGTCTGCCTAATTTTGTTACTAATCATTGTCAAGGATTCTTCATCATAGTACTCTAGGAATATTTTGGAACTTTGACCCACAGAGCCACCTTGTCAATATTAGCTCTATCAAGACAAAAATTAGGAATCCAAGGATGAACAGTGAGAAAATGATCATATATCATCCATAGGCCTTTAGTAAGCGCGTTAAAATAGTCATCCTTATTAGTAAGCTTAACTACAAGGTAACCAAAACCAATATTAATCAGATTAATAATACCTCTTTTAGCCCACATACTTCGCAACCTTGATTCCAAAGCCTTGTAACCGATAGTCCTGTCAAGCAATTTAATTATAACAGCTTTACTCCAAGCACGATACAACCTTTTCTTCATCTTGTTGGAAAAGGTGAATGTAGGAAAGTTCCTCTTAGGGTCCTCAGTTATCTTGTAAGGGGGTTCAGTCATATCTTGGTCCTAAGAACTAAGCAATTTCTTAGACATATAGTCGTCGGATAAGTGATCAATAGCATTATTAGGATCCTTTGCATGCTCATCGTCCCTATATATTCCTTTATGTAAGGTTGTATTTGGGTCCCTAGGTGAGGCCATTCATCCTGAATACCACTTTTCCCAGCATCATTGATCCCATTTTTAATCTTCTTGGAGTGCCTCATGCGTAAATCATCATCTTCTTCACTTGAAGAAGGCACCAGGGAGGACCTTCTTTGCGAGAGCACAAGCGCCATTGTTCACTCCCGGGACATAACCCCACTCTGTTCGGCCAAGAGGATATATGTTACAAGCGCATCGAAAGTCCCATTCGCCATGCTTTTGTTTTGTTACAAGAGATTAAATGAGGGTATACTTGGAATGCTAACTCACCAAGGCCATAGTAGGCTGGTTTGTTTTTTTTTTTTTTTGGGCTTGGAAAACAATAATAGTTTCCTTTTTGTTTTGAAAAAAAACGAAAAACAACAAACAACAGTATAATTGGTACAGAAATGAATAAATTTGGGCTAGTGAATGACCAATAATTTAATTTCAAGGTCTCTAATTACTTAAACATTCTATCTTTAGTCACGATTATTTAAGCTCTAAACAATTCACACTTGTCTTCTCAAATTTGTAATTTGTTGAAAAGTACTTCACTACAAAAAACAAAAATCAAATTAGCAATAGAATTTAGTAACAGAATTTCCATCACTACTCAAAATTAGCAATGGATTAGCAATGAATTAGCGACGGAATTAGTGATGAAATTTATACCGTCACTAAATAATTAGTAATGGAATTCAAAATTCCGTCGCTAATTACTGATGGATCAGTGACGGAAATTTTTCGTCGCTAATTAATGACAGAGATCCCACAAAAATTCTGTCACAAAATAACAACAGATTTGTGATGAAAAATTCCGTCACAAATTTATGACCGAATTTTCTGTCACAAATTTGTCGCTAATTTTTTTTTATTTTGTAAATTTAAAACACCACATGGCAATAATTAATTGCACCACATGTCATGTTTGTGACCGCCACCTCATCATCGGCTGCCACCTCATCAACCCTCTCTCTCCCATGTTGTCACATCATCGCCACTTGTCTATCACTGTGAGCTCCCACATCATCACCAGCCACCACCTCATCAACCCTCTCTCTCCCATGTTGCCACGTCATCTACCACCTCATCAATCCTCTCTCTCCCATGTTGCCATGTCACCACCACGTGTCTATCACTGTAAGCTTCCACGTCATCATCGGTCACCACCTCATCAACCCTCTCTCTCCCATGTTGCAACGTCATCTTTTCATCTACGTCATTGCCACGTATTCATCACTGTGAGCCGCCACATCATTGCCACGTCACAAATTGGCATAATTTTGTGAAGGAGTTTTGGTTTGATATTGGGACCTCCTACATGCGTGCTAAAACCTTTGCTAGTTGAGCTGAGAAGCACTTGTGAAATTTTTATACAAAAATAAATATATATAATATTTCTAGTAACAAATACAAATATATATAATAAATATTATGTACATAATTTAATATATACTATATAATTTAATATATTATTATTTATTTGAATTTAATTTTTATATATTAGCAAAAAAATTAATAATTTATATTTTTATTCATATATTTAACGAAATAACAAGTTGTATACTGTATATTTTATTTTCTTTTATAATATTTTTATGTTTTAATTTTTATATAATATATTATTTAAAAATATGATATTTTATATTTTTATTTGAATAAGAAATTTAAAAATAATTATTATATATTATATTATATCTTTTGTGACGGATTAGTGGCGGATTAATGACAGAAAAATTCCGTTACTAATTTCTGTCACAAAATGTTTTGTGATAGAAGTTAGCGATGGATTAGTGATGGAAATTAGTAATGAAAAAATTTCATCACTAATTTCCATCACAAAATGTTTTGTGATTGGAGTTAGTGACGGATTAGTGACGGAAAATTTCTGTCACTAATCATTTAAAACAAAATTAATGACGAACTTTTGATAGAATTTAGTGATGGAATAAAATTCCATCACTAATCCTTTGCTAATTTAGCGACGGAATAGAATTCCGTCACTAATCCCTAAACTTAGCAACGGAATAGAATTCCGTCACTAATCCCTAGCTAATTTAGTGACGGAAATTTTCCGTCACTAAATTCCGTCGCTAATTTTAGTAACGGAATTTGTAAAGGATTAGTGACGGATTAGCGATGGAATTTAAATTCCGTCACTAATTCCCTGTTTTTTTGTAGTGCTTTATGATTGAGCTTCAAAATTTTTAAACAGAACATGGGAAATTAACTTGTATAGCTTTTGCAAATTTCATAAACTTGACGATGTACATTTATATTTTCAAGTTTAAAACGTGTTAACAAATAATTTGTAATTAATCTTTTAAATTTTCAAATTGTTAATTTATAGTTATCTTTTCAATTTGTCAGACGAAACATTGGAAATTAATTTGTACAATTATTTGTGAGTTTGTAAATCTGCATCTCGTTAAAGAGTAATTTACAACTGACTTTTCAATTTTCAAGACAAAACAATGAAAAATAATTTGGAGTTTTTTTTGTCAAATTTTAATTTATCGTTATAAGATCATATATATATAGAGAGAGAGAGAGAGAAGGGGGTTAATATAATTTTTAACCCCTGAAATTTAACCTAATTTTGATTTAGTCTTTGAAAAATTTGAAACAAATAATTTTGTTCCTTAAAATTTGACCTCAGTTTACTTCTAATATTTGAAACTCGAAACCAGATTTTGATCACTAAAATTTGACTTCATTTTGGTATGTTTAAAAATTTTTAATTCCTGAATCAATTTTTTTATCCCTAAAACAATGACCAAAAACAGAATGAGGTCAAAAAGGGACTAAAGATTATATCAATGCTCTCTCTCTCTATATATATATATATAAATCTCCTCATGCTCTAATCGTCCCAAAAATAAAGCTTACTTCCTCAGGTCTTATTAGAAGGCATTCTTAACTGATTCTTCTGTACAACTAAAACATGAAATCTATTGTAAATTGATTTTCTCCCCCAAATTTAGCCCCAACTTAAATGAAGTAGATAGATAAACATGAAGTTTGAGGAGCTTATTAATATTAAACCTTAATTAATACTACCTCCGGTCCTTAATATAAGACCCTATTTGACTTTTATTTTGGTCCTAAATATAAGACCCCAATCCACTTTGTCTCTCATATTTATGCATCTTTTTCCAAGATAGTCCTTCTAATAATTGTAATCCTAACCAATATAGTTGATTAGTAAGTATATTTTAGGAAAGGCAATACCTATTTATTACAAATAACTAACTTAACTTTTTTCCTTAATCTCCTCAAATTAGTCAACTGGGTCTTATAATTAGGACCGGAGGTAGTAGCAATGATAAAATTAGAAAGTAGCAATTAATTAATGAGGTAGTTGACGACTACATTTATATACTAGGATAAAAAAAAAATTAATTTTATGGAAGATGCCTTAAAATAAGTATCAGAGGAAGTATCTCAGAATTCTCAACCCTATACTGACATTATTTAATAACAACACTCACTAACACAAATCATCTCTATCCATCAAACTTTTGCCCTCACATGGCACAATAAGGGGATTAACTAATCCCAGCTAATGAACACTAATAACTTTTTTTTTTTTAAAAAAAAAAAAAGGAAAGCATACATGCCATTGTACATAATAACTTAGGGAGTGTTTGGATGAAAACTAAACTATAATTTTAAAAGTGTTTTTATGGTATATGAAGTAAATATGTAGAGGAGTTTACTTCGTTTTGCGTAAAAATACTTTTGAAAAGTACTTTTACACAATCCCAAACACCCCCTTAAAGTGAACCATGATAAAAAAAAAGTGCTTATCCCGGTTTAAAATTACCAAAATTTCTAATCTTTACTTTCATAAATCAAATGGACCTTCTATTTTGAGGATATATATGGACAATGAATATACACCAGAAAAAACCTGGTCAGTTCAGCCTTACATGAAGAGCCAAAATTTTTCCACAAACTTCCAAATATAGCAAAAGCACAGACCCAGATTCCCACTAGGCTATTTTCTTCAGCCAAATCATTGAAAGAAGGAACATAATCGTGGAATAAACTAATATTAAATGGCATTCATGTTCTCTGGAAAATCAGTGGATTAATGATACATATATCCATGGATAATCAAACACATAAATAAGTGGCCATAATTGCATTATTGACTTTAAGATTTTTAAATATTCTCCTGTCTACATGATTATTGATTCCTCAACTTAATTAACATACATATGTTTCTATTCATATAGAGCTGTGTTTGACAACCGGGTCGTGGGAATAGCAACGAGAGGAACTTTCTTTTTCAATACAATACCAAATTTCTCGGACATATCTAACTCTTGGCTTTCAGGAATCTTCCAGTCAAATGAATGCATTAGGGTTGCAACAGAATACAGAAAGGTCCTCTCAGCCATGGCTATTCCTGCGCATATTCTTCGTCCAGACCCAAATGGAAAATACTCAAAGTCATTCCCACTAAAATCCCATTTAGAATCTAAGAACCTTGTGGGGTCGAACTTTAGAGGATTGACCCAAATGGTAGGGTCCCTATGTATGGCCCACACGTTGATGAACACTCGAGAACCTTTTGGGATAGTGTAGCCTCCCACAGTGGTGCTTTCACTTGGGCAATGAGGAACTAATAGAGGAAGAGCAGGATGCAACCTAAGACTTTCTTTCATCACCGCAAATAGGTATGGGAGTTTGTGAATGTGAGACTCTTCTACCATGTTTTGTCTTCCCACTACGCTGTCCAATTCTTCTTGGACTCTTCTCATCACCTTAGGTTCATTTATGATATGAGCCATCGCAAATTCAATTGTGTTGGAAGACGTGTCGCTTCCACCCACCACCATATCCTGCCCATAAATTGATTTCACCGTAGGGAGACAATTAACTAGTCTGCTGATTGGTTTTGGACGAGCGTGAAGTGCTCATGCTAATTTGGTCTACATTTAATTTGAATTTTTATGTTTTAAAAAAATTATCATATATAATTTAAAATAAAAGTAAACTTATAATTGGCATTATCTAAATGGGACATTTATGTTTTGGATAAGGAAAATCTTCTAGACAAAGACTTTAAGTAATTGTTAGCGTAAGTTGTTCATTCAATATTTCAAAAAAGCTCTTTCAATATTTAGGGAAAATTAAGATAAAAAACCTAGAGAAAATAATACTCCTTCAATCCTTAATATAAGACTTATTTAAGTTAGATAATAATCATAAATATGGTATATGTTTTTCAAAATATCCCCAGTTAAAACTTCTTTAAAAAACTGACATTCCAAAAAATATTTTAAATTATTTTATTAAAAATATAAAACAGTAGAATTGATGTATGTCTAGAATTAATGAGTAATAAGTACTCACTCACTTTATAAAATATATAGGTGTATTATTAATAAGTAATAAGTATTATTGTGGTATTTAATGATTTAATAGGGGTAATTTGGAAAAGAATTGGTAAATATGACAAACAAATCCTATATTTAGGATCAAGATCAACTTTTTAATTATGTCCTATATTAAGGAACAGAGGAGTACTTATTAAAGATGATCATAAAAATTGTAATTAATAAAAAGGACCAAATTTCAAAATATAAATTTAAAAATACCAAACTATCCTCAGTCAAACCTCCTATTTTCTCTCATACATTCCGATTTCTTTTTTGTCAAAAAAAAAATAATTTTTTGTCTTTTAAGATTGCCCTCATTTGGTTTGGTCTCTAAAATTCAAACTATGGATTTTAGTCTTTCAAAAGATAAAATTGTTCAAATTTATTAAATTATAGAGACTTAATATTTTAAATGAAAAGAAATTTGATTGATTAAATTCTATAGTAACTTGATGGATTAAAAAAAACAAACTTAAACATTGAAAATTATATTAACACTAAAAAAACAAAAAACTAAAACTGCCCGGCATCAACACGACCGTACCCTATTTTTAACTTTTATTTTTCACCAATATCCATGTATCATTTAATTATTAATGAAGATATTTATGCATTTATATCATTAAGTTTTTCCCATCCGATTTATATTATTATAACTCACATACATAATATTTCTTATAAAAAATTTACTTAAAAAACATTTCTTTGAACTTTTTATTGGTTAATTTTTTTTTATGTATAGATATCTTCTTTTTACAGACAATTTTATTCAAAATATTATCAAATACTAAATATGAGCACTTTTAATTTTTATTTTTATTTTCTAGACATATATAACATTCACTTAACATATATAAAAATTATAAGAGATTGAGTTTTACTAAAATTATATAATTTTTATTTTTAATTAAAGTTTGTGATTTTAAAAATAAAATCTTAATTTAAAAAACCGAAAAATGCTCGCATAATTTTTTTAATATATATATATATATATGTAAGTTGTAAAAATTGAGATAAATTTTGTTTAATTTAGCGAATTTAAATTTTTTAAAAATAGAATGTGGGAGAGGTAACGTAGGAGGTTTAATTTGGTTATGCGCAATTTAGTATTTTTAAATTTACATTTTGATTTTTAATTTTTCTAAGTAATTATAATTTTTATGGGTCTCCTAAATAAAATCATTCTCTTGAGGTACTTCATTCTAATTTCTCCTAGCATTTATCATAATTATTTTTAGTAAATTAAATTATAAAAAGTTAAAATGAATGTCTTAAAAAAATGAGATGGTTGAGGGAAAAAAACATACCATTAGGAGGGCCTTAATGTGGGTCATGGTGAGTGGCGTTTTAGAATCCTCTTCATCCTTCAATTTCAACAGGAACTGCAAAAAATCTTTACTTTCTCCACTTCCACTTTCGTTGTTCTTCCTCAGTCGCAGCTCAATCATCTTCTCGAAGATCTGATCAAACCGCCGAGCCAATAAACGCATCTGTTTCTCAACACCTTGCAAATCAAACCAGGCCAACCCAGAAAAGAAGTCCGACAGGTTGGGTTTCCCCAATAGCGCCGTCATGTGCGCCACCACTTCCCTGAACTCCGACCCCACAGCTGCCCTCTCATCTCCTTCCAACGTCCCACCCCACATCATGTTCGTAATCACATTTAATATGGTAAGAAACATTTGCTCCCCAATATCCACCGGAGACCCGACCCGGCTGTACAGATATCCCACGGTTTTTCTGATCTCCCTCCGACGGAGCTCATAAACGGAGTCCAAGGTGGTGTTGCTGAGCATCTTAAGCACACAAACTTTCCTCAACATCCGCCACTCAGGTCCGTAAGGAGTCCAAACAATGTCTTTTCCGCCGTAGGTGGCTAACCTGCCGGCGACAGGGACGTCACGGTTGGCGAAAGTGACGTCATGGTCTTTGAGCACTTGGCGAGCAATTGAAGGAGATGAAACGACGACGGCAGTTTTGGATCCAAGTCGGAGCGAGAAGATAGGACCATAGGTTTGAGACAAAGAGGCAAAGTAAGAGTGAAGCTCTGGATCTATTGAGAGAAGATTGCCGAACAAGGGGAGGCCTCGGGGACCTGGAGGTGGCTTAGAGCTGGGTTTGGTGAAGCAGATCCAGGCATACCAGGCGACGGCGAGAATGCCACAAAAAGCAAGAAACAGAGGTGTGAGAGAATCCCACTGGGTTAGGGACTCCATCAGATTCTGAAAGAGAGCCGGTGGGAAAGCTGTCATCCTCAAATTTCTGATCCAGCCAGGAGCAAGGACCAGAGGCAAAGGATATTTATGAGAAATGTAGGTGAGGCTGACATCGAATACCGGCCGCCGCTGACGCCAAAGCCGGGCGTTGTCCGCTTCATAAAATCTGATTCTCTTTTCTCTTCGGGCCACACATCTATCTGATCTATTTATCAGATGTTTGCACCGGTTTTATTATTTTCTTAATAAAAAATTAATAACTGTTATGAATATTATAATATGTGGATGTCCATCTCCTCTTCTTCCTTTTCCTCTTTCTCTTCCTCTCAACTTCATCATCAACTCCCACTACTTCCACTAGGCATTAATCTTCCATTACTCTATTACCTTTCCACTATGCCTTTAATCTTGTAACTCTCCCTACTCATATTCATATGGTTTATTGCCCACTATCTATCATTTAAGTACAAATGTAACTTATGTGTGAAACTATGCCTATAAATAAGGCATGTCATTGTATTGTGAGGTAAGTGAAGCAACTGAAGGAATATAATATCATTTTCTCATTTTCTTGTTTACTTCTCTTCTCCAATCTACTTTCATTGTTGGTTAATTTCATAATACATTATCAGCACAAGACTCTACTATCAGAGTTCATGGCTCCTAGTTGATACACGTTGAGGTTTTGTTCATTGAATGAAGATAGTTTGATCCGAACAGTTTGGTAAGATTTCTCCAATTTATTTAGAGGAAATGGTGGTTTTGCATATTAACCCTATTGATTCATTGGTAGCCGAATATATTATTTATCATATTTTTATTTCTTATTTTTCTTATATTTTTATGATCCTATTGTCCTTATACTTCTTGATTTGCTATGACGTTTATGTTCATCTATAACATTATTATATATGATTATCATCTCCGACATTAGTTAATTGTTATCTTAGAAAGAAAATATTAAACATATAAATGAATGGCTAAATAGCCATTATATTCTTGATTTTGTGATTAGATGGCCAGAAGCCACATCATGTTTTGATGATTATTTGATAACAGAGCATCTTGTGGTAGTAACAGATGGCATGACAAAATTATCACAATTTGATAATTTATATCAAAGTCTTGAAGATTGATGGTTAAAAATGAAACGATACAAAAGAACTTTGTAGTTCTGAAAATTTTGTTATAGTCCGGAAGACTAATATTTGAGAAAATTGATGGTGTGCTATTGAAAGCAAAGAATATATTCATAAGAATGATAAAGAGTATGATCACATTCTATCAGTGGAACTGATAACTAAAAGGACAATAATTTTGGGGCTTGGCTATTGAATCATAACAGCAGAATTAGTAATAGCCCTATGATCAATATGATAAAATAATGAATAACTGTTATAATATGACTAGAACTCATATAGACAAATATGTATTAGTTCATTGAAAAGCAAATGTTAAAGAAAAATGGTTGTGGAATCAAAAAGACCATGTGATATTATGAAAATATCGAAGCTAATTTTAATGCCTGAAGGCAGTAAGTTGTAAAGAAAAATAGATATCCAAAGTATATATAAAAATAGAAAATATATAAATATATGCCTAGAAGGCTATATGTATAATGTTTAATTTCTACCAGTCTTTAAATTTATCATGATTTGTGATAAACAAATTGTTATAAGAATTTGATATTGTGATATTGATAAATGTGTGATATAAAACTAAATAGATCAAATAGACCCAAAAGTTACTAGTTATACTTTATTTATTTATATCTTATTTATATGATCTGATTCAATATTAGTTTTGAATATTTTAAATGTATATAGTACACTGATCAATATTGAAAAGTTTTGAACGTTAAGTACTTTACTTTTAAAAGTTCATTTTAAATGTTCTTCATCATTTTTGTGTGTTTTCTATGTGTCTTGTAAGTTAAATCTATGATACTCATAATTATTTGTTATTATGTTAATAATATATTGAAATAGAGTTGTCTTTCATATTCCTCTTAAATTATATAGTTCCTAAAGAACTCGATGTAATAGTATTAATATAGTTCCAGAAGAACTAATACTGATTTTTCTTTATGAGCAGACAAAGTATTGATAGTGAAAAATATGACCCATGGATCTACATCACAGCTTTGGTTCTCCAAAGAGTGTAAATGCTATAGTACAATTGGATTAAAATCCGTAACTATATATGAACTTGGAAGTACTTGGGCATCCAAGCCAAAGATAGGTTATTGGCTTTAACCTATTATATGCTAGCAGTTGTTTATGAAATATATGAATAAAGGAATCATGTTTTAATGACTTAATCTTGAGGGGAAAAACTGTTAGAATACAAGTATGAGTTGATATTGAATATATTTTTCATAAATGGATATCATCAATCATATGTTATATTGAAAAGTTTATTATTGGTAACGAAACATGGTACAGTAAACCAGAAGTTTACTGATATAATTAGATTTATTGTTGGCAAGACTTGTTTGATCATCTTAAACTATATAATTATTGAAGATTATGTATTGATATCCATTGAAGAACCCGAATAGCCAACATTTTTAAGAATCCGTATATGCTGCTTGTTCTCAAAGAAAATTAATTATAAAATATCACTAGTTATGTTTTGTTTTTGAATGAATCACTATATCTCTGGAAATATATATAGGCCCATTTAGAAGCACATAAGCCATACAAGTATTCAATATTTGATAGATGCATCTATATAAAATGGTAAGATGTGTGATTGATATTAATTTGCAACCTGAAGTTTGCAAGATTATTTAGATAAATATTTCCAGACTATGTGATTCCCAAAACTTGATTTCAAAGATGCTAGTGAATTTATATATCAGGCTTTTAATGTTGAAAAGCCTGCTTAACAAATTGATCTAGCAAAATCATTTGTTAATGCCTCCGTGAATAGCTTGATCAATATTTATGAGAACAAATTTTTCCATTTTAGTGTTGGCATATTTGATATATTGCAGCACTTATACACATCAAGGCAACAAAATTCTCCCGATAAAATTGGCTTTTGGTCAGGAGCAAGATATTTTCCATCTAAAGATTGAAATGTGCAATATTTATTCTTACCAATCCACCACAATGCACATAGATGGATATTTAAAGAAAATTGGGACATATGTTGGGTAAGAACCTCTTTCTTCTTGTTTGTTTTTAAATGGAACAAAATAATGTTCCTAAAAGAAGCAAATGGATTTAGGAGACTTATACTACATAATTAGTTGACTGTTATTCGACAAAGTTTTCCTAACATGAGGGGGAGAAATTGAGTAGCTGGAAAAGAGAATGCATGGAATGCATTATTACTATTAAATATAGATCCTCAAATATATTAGTATGGACCAGAAGTTCATCAAAATTGCATTCATGAAATACTACAAAATATTTTACTGACTTGAATAAAAAAATTTAAATCTCTTATTCCAGCTGAAAATGCTCCAATTATTTTGAATATTAAGACATACCAGAAGCATGAGAGGTTAATCGGTTCCAATATAAATATCTTGACTAAAGAGGAGCATACAACTTAGAAGTTGTATTGAGGAGGCATGTACTCTAGAAGAGTGTCAGGACATAACTAATTATAAAACCCCAGAAGAGGTTCAGGTACCTGAAAAGGAAGAAAGATATCTCAACAAGTTATGTCACAAAAGAAAAAATGAAACCGAAAAGGTAAAGTTGTCGACAATAATTTTCATAAGAATATCACATGATAAAAAAAGGATCTTACGTATAGATCTATCATACAAAGTAATATAAATTTGGCCAAGAAGAAAAGAAAAAGGAAAAAGATGTAATGAAAATATTATTTCAATATGTGAAAATGGGCCTGTAGTCCCAACACATATAAAGTTTCTATATAATATATAGACGTTTATGTGAAAATATATATATTTTCACAAATAATGAGACATATTACTTTGTGGTGGATATAATTTTGCATATATGAATAGTTTGGTAGTTATAAAATGATCCATGTATGAAGATCATTAAATAGTGAAATTTATATGATAATTTTTTGAAGGATCCAAAATATGCCAGGAGCATATATAAGAAAATTTTTCAATATATGAAATATTATGAAGACTAAAATAATTTCAGTATTTATGATCCATTTTATAGTTCTGGATCAAAATATATAAAATTTCCTGAAAGATTTCACTTGCCAGAAGCATACAATTCAAGTTCTTGAGAACAATGATTAAGTTAAATAAGTTGCTAGAAGCAATCAGGGTGTATGTGGTATAACCGATTGAGTAAATATTGGTTGAAGAAATGATATAAAAATGATCCAATTTGCCCATGCATTTTTATGAAAAGATTTGAAAGTGAGTTTGCTATAATTGTTTATGTTGATAATATAAATATTATTGGAACTCCTGAAGAGCTTACAAAAGCTATGGATTGCTTAAAGAAAGAATTTGAAATGAAGGGCTTGGAAAGAATAAAGTTTTGCCTTAAATTGCAAATTGAATACTTGAGAAATGAAAATTTTTGTGTATCAAATAATTGATACAAGAAAGGCCTTAAAGTGTTTTTATATGGATAAATCACATCCATTATATACTTTGATGGTTGTGAAATTTGTAGAGGTGAATAAAGAACCTTATATATTTTGAGAAGGTGATGAAGAACTACTTAGTCCAGAAGTACCATATCATATCTTATCAGTCATGCATGACATCACATATCATTTGCTGTTAACTTACTGGTAAGATATAGTTTTTCACCAAAGACATTGGAATAGAATTCTAGATTCTTTTTTGATTCACATGCTGGTAATTCCAAATGGAGTATTTATCTCACAATATCCAAAAGATGGTGAAATATATATCCAGCAAATTCATTCAAATAAAAATCTAGCATATTTGTTCACCAAGTCACTTCCTATTACAATATTTGAAAAGTTTGTTCATGATATCAGATGTCATAGACTCAAAGATATCAATTGATGTTATCAAGAGGGGGAGTTAATACACGCTGTACTCTTTTTCCCTTGCCTATGGTTTTTTCCCACTGGGTTTTCCTAGCAAGGTTTCTAATGAGGCAGCATCGAATAGTGTATCAGTGAATGTGTATTCTTTTTCTTCTACTAGGTTTTTATCCCACAAGGTTTTTCCTAGTT